ATACAAAATCCCAACTATATGAAAAGCAAAATCTAGATGCTTGGAGATTGTATTTCCTCTATCTTAACAAATTTAACATGGAAGGAAAGTTTGCAGGATTTTGTTCAACTGCTGACATGCGAGGCGGGGAGCAGGGCTCACCTACGCCACCATCCAGGAGCTATTACACACAAAGAGAAAAGGAGACAAGCTCAGGATATACCTCAAACACACATCAACTACGTACCAGAAACGACTGAAGCCTCAAATCCCATGTCTTCTATAGCAGCTCTGAGTTCTTCTGGGCTAATTACAGAGGGATTATAAAGAACTGTTCCAATCCCTTCGGCCAAAGACACCGATATTTGCTGCACCCCTTCCAGTTGGGAGATCATGCCTTCAATGGTATGGACACAGGATGCACAGGTCATGCCGGCAATGGCAATCAGAGTGGTACTGCATGTGCTCTGCACCTGGTTTCTTGGGGAGGAGCCAGGGGAATGAGAACTGGAAGACCTGTGATCTGTCCCACTCCCTTCGGCTCTATCAGGAAGAGAAACTTTAAAGTTCCCAGGTGGAAGTGCCTCGATAGCCGTCTGCAGAGCCACTGGGCTGGTACGAGAAGGGTCATACTGTACTTGGGCAGTTTTGTTCTCCAAGGACACTTTAATACTTTGAACCCCTAGGAGTTGGCCAATATTTTCTTCAATATTCAAGACACAAGACTTACAGTGCATTCCATCTATTCTCAGTTGGAGGGTGACCACATTCCTTCCTTGGTGTCCCAAGGTCTCAGAATTATTAAAATTCTGGTTAGCAGAAGATAAAGGTCTCTTTGGGTTAGTGCTTTCTAACCGCTCAATATCAATTGGTCCCAGGCTTAAGGGAGCCACTTTGTTCTTGATGGCAGCTTCAAATCCCATGTCATTTACATGGTCCCTGAGGTCTTCAGGCTGAATGAGATAAGGCTGATAAGTGATGACAGCCTCTTGGTTGCTGAGTGAGACTTTGACTCTCACTACTCCTTGCAGTTTCCGGACCTTGCCTTCAATGGAGCCGACACAGGACTGGCAGGTCATGCCCTCCACCCGGAGCTTGACCACAGCCTCCTGGGCAGGCAAGGACCTTGAGGGCCAGGAGGCTGCCTTTCCTTCTGCAATGCTGGCCTCAAAGCCCATGTCCCCAATTTGATGGCAAACCTGTTGCAGGCTCACAACTGATGGCACATATTTCACAGTGGCACTGCCTTGTTCCAGGGAAACCTTCATGCTCACAATGCCTTTCAAACTGGAAATTCTGTCCTCAATGGACTTCACACATGACTGGCAAGTCATGCCCAAGATCCTGATTGTGCTGGTGTCCACCTGAGAAGAAGGGCCCAGGCCATCCAGACCACCTTCGTAGCCAACATTGTCAAAAGCAAAACTCTTCTTCATTGCTGGTCCCCAGGCACGGGTAGGCAAAGAAAGCTTCGATAAGATCTAAAACGAAAAGAAATAACATTTTTTATCCTTTAAATATTTTCTACAACATCCCAGCTTCTCCGGCACTGAGAAAATGGAAAACAACGCCACTGGTGTCAAAACATCCCAAGGGCAGAAGAACATAAAATACACAGAAAGCAAGCTAAAGGCATCATCTATAAAATGAAGGGCTCTGACATTCTTCTCTGACAGAAGCTAACTGTCTGTCCTCCTTAGTGAAATGTCATTCTCACACAACAGACGTGCAGGATTCTGAGGGAAAGAAGGAAAGCATCACACGGTTTTACACATGGAACGCAGCACGGCCAGCCTGCAGCAGAGGCAGAGGGCACAGCGGCTCACAGTGGGAAGGCACAGGTATCCCCAAAGAGGTCCCCACCTCTGGCTGATACCTCCCCACAGAACTTAGTCCCTTCAACTCAAACTTTGGGGGTCCTGAGGAAATACAAACCCCAGAAGAGGCAACACCTTACTTCTATATCTCTTTCTAGGGGTGTCTGTCTGATTATCATAGCAGAGGTTAAATGTGCTTAACACCCTTCAGGTACACGCTCCAAATGCAGACTTTCCAGGCCCACACAGTCGGAATCCAAAGGTGGGCCACAAGCCTGTGAAAAAGCTTTGGAGGTATGCTCCCTGGGCGAGGTTTAATGAGCACCTGTGGCTGAGCCGAGGGGCAGGAGGGGAAAGGCTGGAAGAACAGGAAGTTGAGTTTCACGAGGAACTTCATAGTTCTGCCTGTGACTCAGTGTCACCGTCCTCCTGGGTGTTCAGGAGAGCTGTAGCCATTACCCGAAATTTCAGGTGCATCACTTAATTAAAGAACCTGTTTTCTTAACACAACACAGTACAAGTGTTATTTCCTGGTTTCTACACGGGATGATGTAGTCTCAGTCATTCTATTAACAAGCAAAATCTTCCTTTCACAGGCTCCCAGCCTACAGCTGTCTTAACTAGATATACTTTTTACACCAGAACTTCTACGTGCTTCAGAAATTTGGAAACAGACCTTTATATATGACACATCACAAAAAAGCACATTTCTCCCTATTTGTACACAATCCTGCTTGTCTTCAGGTGAATCTCCTTTACATGGAATGATCTTCTCCTTTTTCCTGTGCATAAAATGCAGACCTTGCCAACTGGCTTTTGAGCAGCTTAACAACACAAATGTTTAAATAACTTCTAAAATGCAGACTATATAAATGTTGATTTCTATATCCACAAAGGTTTGGGATTAATAATTACATGGAATTGTAAATATTCACTGTAGCATTTCCTAAGAGAAAAGAGGAATAATTAAGTAATTTGGGAGACAGCAGTTTAAAAGATATTGCTGAATTCAGTAAATACGTGAATGTTTAACAATGTTGTTTAAGGATGGTGACACATTCTGAGAAATGAGTCATGCTTGTGACTTCATCCTTGTGTGACCATCATGGAGTCACTTACACCTAGATGATGTAGCCTACTACACCCACCTGAGCTGTATGGGATAGCCTGTTGCTCCTAGGCCACACATCTATACAGCATGTTACTGTACTGAATACTGCATGCAATCGTAACACAATGGTAAGTACTTGTGTATCTAAACATAGCTGAACATAGAAAAGGTACAGTAAAAACACAATATAAAAGATTTTAAAAATGGTGCACGTGTATGGGGCACTTATCATGAATGGAGCTTGCAGGACTGGAAGTTGCTCTGAGTGAGTCAGTGAATGAGTGGTAAGTAGATGTGAAGATTTAGGACACTGCACTACTGTCGATTTTATAAACACTGTATACTTAGGCCCACTAAATTTATAAAAAATATTTTTCTTTCTTCAGCAATAAATTAACATAGCCAGACACAGTGGCTCATCGTAATCTCAATGCTTTGGGAGGCCGAGGCAGGAGGACTGCTTGAGCCCAGGAGTTCAAGGTTACAGTGAGCTACGACTGCACCACTATACTGTAGCCTGGGAGACAAAACAAGACCTTGTCTCTGAAAAAATAATAATAATTTATTAATTAACCTCGGCTTGCTGTAACTTTACTTCATAAACGTTTAATTTTTTTTTTTTTTTTTACTTTTGACTCTTTTGTAATAACACTTAGCTTAAAGCACAAACACACTGGACAGCTGTATAAAATTTTCTTTCTTTATATACTTATCCTATAAGTGTTAAAATTTTTTATTTTTAAACTAAGCCTTTTTGTTAAAAACTAAGACACAAACACATACATTAGCCTCGGCCTACACATGGTCGGGATCATCAATATAACTGTCTTCCATCTCTACATCTTCTCCCACTGGAAGGTCTTCGGGGCGATAACAGGCATGGGGCTGTCATCTCCTATAATAACAACACCTTCTTCTGGATACCTCCTAGGACCTGCCTAAGGCTATTTTACAGTTAACTTTTTCTTTTTATACGTAGAAGGAGTACACTCTAAAATAACAATGAAGAGTATAGTAAATACATAAACCAGTAACACATTTATTATCATTATCAAGTATTATGTACTGTACAGAATAGTATGTGCTCCATTTTTATATGACTGGCAGTACAGTGGGTTGGTTTACACCAGCTCACCAAAAATACATGAGTAATGCATTACTATGACATTATAACAGCTGTGAGATCACTAGGCAATAGGAATTTTTCAGTTTCATTGTAATATCACGGGACCAGTGTCATATGTGCAGTCCATCATTGACTAAAACATCATTATGAGGCACATGACTGTATAATAAGGATGCATGGTGTAACAATATTAACAGACAACTGACTAGCCACCTCAGACACCTATCTGGAAACCTATATGTCAAAAGACATTTCAGGCAGATCAAAGATTAAGATGTAAAAAAGAAATAACAAAAACACTAGAAGAAAACATAGGAGAATATCTACAATAATCTCAAATTGAGAAAAGCCTAAATATGACAAACAAACCAGAATAAAACCAAGAAAATCCAAAAGCTATAAAAAATTTGACATAACTAAATACAATAAGGACAAAACATTACTCAAATGAAGTCAAAAGATAAATAACTGGGGGACAAAAGATTTGCTTCACATAGCATACATTAAGAGCTAATTTCTTTAATACACACAGAGTTCCCCCAAAAAAGCAAAAGGTCAACAACCCAAACAAAAAAGAAGACAGTTCATCAAAAAGGAAATGCATGTGGTTTTTAAAATACATGAGAAAATATTAAAGAGAAATGTAACATTCCAACCACATTGTGGCTCACCATTTGCTGCAGTGCACAGTCCTCCTACATTGCTAGTGGAAGTGTAACCTCTCTGGAGGGCAATTTGCAATACCTATTAAAATTACAAATTTACGTACTCTTTTACTCAGCAACTCTACTTCTAAGAATTTACCCAATAAATATATTTGTTCATGGGCAAAAGGAAGCATGCCATGGAGATATTAAATGCTGCGAAAGATTAAAAACATCAACATCTGTCAATAAGAGGCTAATTATTGTTCAGCCATAAATGGAATATTATTCAGCTCTTAAAATGAATGATGTGGCTCTGTATGTACTGAAATAAGCTGATATCTAATATACTGCTCAGCAACAAAAGCAAGGCACAGAAAATACCATATATATCGTATGTGTTTGTTATCTGTTGCTACATGACAAACCAAATTTAGTAGCTTACTAGCAACAGCTCACAATTTTTCAATTCGTACAGGGCTTGGCAGGGAAAGCTTGTCTCTTCTCCACATAGCACCACTGGAGGTGGCCTGAATGGGGTTGGCAGTTCCACTTCCAAGAAGATGGTTCATTCATGACATGGCTGCCAAGTGGATGCTTGCTGCTGTCTAGGGGCCCAGCTAAGGTTGTTGGCAGGGACCCAGTTCTCTTCCATGTGGCTTCTCTTTATGACTAGGTGGGGACCTCACAGCTGGGGGCTTCTGGGTACTGACAGGGGGTGTCACAATGGCAAGCACTCCTCTAGTACACATTTCAAAGTGCTAGCTCTTATCAAGCCTCTGTTTGCATAACACTTGTTAACTCCCATTGGCCAAAACCAGTCACACAGCCAAGCACAGTCAATATGGGCAGGAATTACACGGACCTTGAATACAAGGGCGTGTAGTTCACTACAATTCTATCACGGTGCTACCTGTGTGAAACAAGAGAATATCATACAAATGGATGCTTGTATAGGCATGGATTATCTCTGGGACAATGCAGAAGCTAGTAGAGAATTTGAGGAAGATTAGGCAGCTGAAGGGGACCAGGTGGCTGGGATACAGAGAAGAATTACTTTCACTGTATATCTTACTGTACAATACACACATTACCAAAACCTAAATATTAATTTAAAATTAAAATAACATGAGCACAAAGAACACTCAGAACAGTGACTTGATTGTAGTTGGTGTTAATTAAATACTTGTTTAATTAAAAAGGAACCAAGGATAAAAGAAAAACTAAGAAGATACTCAAAGACATTCATTTTCATATACTACCTTATTAAGCAAAACCTCTTCCTCATAATAAGACATAACCCTCAACCACCTAGTTTGTAGGAAAAACAAATCCCTCATGATATACTACCCAATTTACATTTTTTGGTCCTCGTTCCAACTACACAATTTAACAAACCCCAAACCACAACAGTGGCTCTTAATTTCTAGACTGTTGATTCTACGTTTCTGCCAAAATGGTGTGGAGAAGTACTGAAAGCAATTTCTTATTATCAAACACTACTCAGAGGCCCCCCTTTCTAGACAGGCAGGTTTTTACGGCCAAGCAGTTACAGAAGACAAAGCCTTGCAAACAACATATCTCTACAAAACACTAGAGTATCTGTTGGTCTAGGAACAACCTCATTAAACAACTGATAGTGTTTGGATAGTTTTAACTGTAGACACAGGGCATATGTATGCTTTTAACTCAGTTCTTCAATTAAGATGATCTTTGGGGGAAAAAACTCTCCTGATGAGTTTTAAAAACCAAACAAAGGTTTAGATTTAAGGGTTCATCAAAG